TCCAGGAGCTCTCTGGACTCAGTTCAGGACCGACTGATAAGAAATTAAGTGTATATTCCTGTGGTTTCCATAAACAAGTAGAAAGTTTAACCGCCGATGAGATTGAGTTTTTTAATGGTTTAAATGTAACTAGATCTAAATGAGTTTATTATTAATTTTATTGTATTGTTACAAAGATAATTTTTACTTTTCAATATAATTATCTTAACAAAGCAAATGTTTTTATGTTATTATAATATTAATAATTAAAATTAAACAATATTTTAATTTCTTATAAAAATCAATTATTAATAAATATTTTATAAATTAAAATATTACATTAATCAATAAATAAAATATGTTAATTGTTTTTAATAAATTACATTATAATTTATTAAAATTCCGAATTATAATACTTTTAATAAAACTTTTAAATTAGAATAAATAAAACTAAAATATTTTAGAGCAGAAAATTATTAAACTAAATATTTATATATAATATAAAAAATTAAAATATTTTTTTACGCGTTACAATTTTGTTAAATAATTTAAAACTGCATAATTGTGGCATACTGTATATAACTTTCAAGGTTATATAAATGTATATTTTTTCGATTATAATATGCGCATGAATTCAAGCATATGAATGAGTGAATGGAATAACGAGTTATCTCTATATCAAAGCTCTATGTATTAAGTATTAAGTATTATCTAACTATTAAGTATTAATATAGAGAATACAGTAACATATTGTACTTGATTAATACATCACCTATAGGTTACAATATGTTACTGTATTATCTATATTAATACTTAATAGTTCAATACATCGAGCTATAGGTTATAGTTCAATTCATAGTGCTTTGATATAGAGATAACCCGTTATTCCATTCACTCATTCATATTTGGATTACGTGACTAAATATTCATAGAAAATTTTAAATTACAATTCAAAATTCAGTTAGTTAAATTACATCAATAATTCAATCAATCAAAACCTAATCAAAAACAATATTCTACGTCTAAAATGGGTTTGTAAATTAATTGTTAAATAATATATTTATATTTAAATATAACCCGTTTATTTTAAAACTCGTTTACTTAAGTTAACCTAGTTCATCGTAATTTAATATGTTCGTACACCATTATTTAGTTAGTAAATTATATTATTTTCCTTACTAACAATTATACACTCTATAACAATTTATGTTATATTAATTTAACTTAATCGAAATCATTGTTTTTGTAAGAGATTTTAAAATTTTGAAATATCTATTACAACAAATATATTGCTATTATTGTATTTTTAAATGTTTGCTAAGACAGTTAAGTTGTCAACTTTATTAATTCTCTTTAACATTATGCTAAAAATCTTCAAGGATCATATAATTTGTGTGCTAGAGCTCAAATTTAAATAGCTACCGACCCCTAGTTAATCATGATATCGCCGAAAGAGGTATAGATATTACAATATTCATTTTACCACATTAGTCTACACTATTTTGTGAGTAATTATCACTCGTTAAAATGGGCGAATGACCGGACAGTTTTTCGGGAGACCATGTTTGTCCGCATATTCTACATGTTACTCCTAATTCTTTGTTTAAATCTTAGTTATTGGGTTACCATATATTAAAATATTTAGTAATACAATTAAATTCTTACTAAACAACAATTTTATAATGACAAACTCTTCATTTATTCATTTACAAGTCATTTATTGGGTAATAACATGTAGAATATGCGGATAAACTTATGGTCTCCATAAAAACTGTCCGGCCATTCGCCAATTTTAATTAATGATAATAACTTACAAAATAGTATAGACTAATGTGGTATAAATAAAAATTGCGTTATTTATAACCGTTTTAGCGGCATCCAAAGTAAGTGTCTTTTCATTTAATAATTGAATGACATTGGCACTGTTAGGATTCTTAGGACTTTACAATACACTCTACACGCAAAAATGATTTTACAATACATGTATGTATTCATACATTTAATCTATAATTCAATAGGAAAATACAATAATTCAAGCAAATAGATAAATTTTAAAATACATGATTAAACTTTACAAATAAATATTGTTCAATATGTTCAGGTGTTAAATTCACTCTTTTGTCAGTTAATATAAATTTATGTGTCGAGAAAGATCTCTCCAGCCAAACTGTGGACATAGGCGAATATACTTCACTTGGAGTATACTTTTGATTTAAATACAATATAAAATCCGTATTCTTTTCCAATGAAGACTTCAATTTAGCCAAACAATCCATATCGTTGATGGCCTTAAATTTAATTATCAAATCTTGGACCATTTTAAGTTGTTCATTAATAGTAAGCGAATCCGTTTGAACCGCAACAATGGTGTCAGTTAAAAATTTATATTTCAATAAATTTTCCAATTGGACTTTAAGTTCTTCATCTTCTATAAGTCTTAAGTTCTTCAAGTGCTTTGTTTTTATGAGAAATTGCAACAATAAATTTGCAAATCTTATCGTAGTGTTGGGCATAATAGTAACACACTTCTAACCAGGTTCCCCAACGGGTAATAACTGGTTGTTTAGGTAAAGCAATATTACAAATTTCGTTAAATTCTCTTTTCCGTTTCGGAGAATTAGTCATAAGTTCTTTGAATTTTGTAACGAATGTGTTTGCTTTAAGATTGTTTTGCCTAATTGTCTCACAAACTCTTTGCATTGCATGAGCAATACATGTCACATGTTTCATATTCTTAAATGTCTTCTTTGCTTTTTTAACACCACTTAAACAAGCAGGTGCTTGATCAGTCAGGCAAAGGACAACATTATCGTAATTTATACCCATTTTATCACATGCTTTTATCATCGCATCTTTGATGTCGTCCGGAGATGTTCCATTTGGAAAGTGTTTCAATCAAATATGGTTTTGTTTTAGTTACGTTTAAGAGACCACACTTAATATTACATACTGTTCGTTGCAAACATCTGGATTTCGTCGACTTGAAGATAAACTTTGTTGTTACCAATTAATTCCTTAACATTGTTAAAGAACATATTGTACACAATTTCTGCGTAATTTCTCCGAAGTGTGTCAGGTTTTGGCAAATTTTGTTTGATCCATTCAAACAAGAATGATCTCAAAGCCTCACAATTCAGTCTTTCAAATGGGATCCCGGCTGCCATAAATACTGCAGCAATTGCCAACCAAAACTTATTCATACCTTTTGTTACATCTTTGTTGACAAGTGTTGACAAATCTTCAGTTGCTTTCCTTTAATTTGATTTGTTGATTACATTTTTCTCATGTTTTGGAGATTTTGTGTGAATTCCTATATTGGACTTCTCGTGTTTTGAATCGATTTTATCGTAATACTGTTCACACGGCATACACATTAACCTGCTGTCATGTATGCAGAAATTTAAATCATTTGCACAGATTTCAAACATTTTGTCCTTTAAATCTTGTTCAACATTTTGCTTTTTCACAAAACCTTCAAAAACATTTTGATAATTTATTTTGTTTGCCATACGGGTAGACATTGGAATGATTGTCACAAACAGTTTAAACAAAATACACTTTAAATCGACACAAAATNATGCAGAAATTTAAATCATTTGCACAGATTTCAAACATTTTGTCCTTTAAATCTTGTTCAACATTTTGCTTTTTCACAAAACCTTCAAAAACATTTTGATAATTTATTTTGTTTGCCATACGGGTAGACATTGGAATGATTGTCACAAACAGTTTAAACAAAATACACTTTAAATCGACACAAAATTAGCGTTCATTTGAATTTGAGATATGTATGCGATTGGAGTGAATGTCACAAACAGTATAAAACAAAAAACACTAAATCGACACCAAAATACTGTTCATTTAAATAAAAAGCTATTCAATTGTAATGTAAATTATGTCTAAAAGATAAATAAAATCACATGCTTTCAAATATATGTTTTTAAACTCAAACTCAATATAATCAACACTATCTTATCACCATATGTATTGCACAGCTTATCAGTATTGTTTGTTTAGTGGCTGGTTATAGATTAAATGTATGTATTGTAAAATCATTTTTGCGTGAAGAAAACTGTAATATTAGCTGAAAAGTCATAAGAATCCTAACACTGGACGTTGAAATTAAAAAGATAATATATTTTTAGATTATTTTTAATTTTTATAATTTTCGAATGAACTATTCTACTGTATATTACAACTTAGTTTCTATGTAAATTTATTTGCAATTATTTGTAAATTGAAAGCCAAGTTAAATGAAATCTGATGGGTCATAAATATTCAATTTAATCAATTTGGTATACCGTATAGCTTGTCTTATCATTTATCCCTGCTCAATTTACTGAAACTTTTCCGATAAATACAATTTAGTATAAATCTTAAAAATCTTAATAATATACTAAAGCTAAAAATATATTATAAATTATTGTAGCAAGCACAAATACTGCAATTGTTAAATGGAAAGATGTGGGCACAGCACTGGTATTGTACACTGAGAAACAAGATGAAAAAACATTGATTGAGTGCATCGAGACCATGTTTACTGCCATTAAGTTTGTGGCCCCATATGCCAGTACAGTGGCCAGCTTTGTCAAGCCGATGCTCATACCTGATCAGGTGATGGTCGAGCTTAACAAGATAATTGACAAGTTATTCGATCTTGATAAAAAGTTAGATAAAATAGTTAGTGAGATAAAGGAAGAGTTTAAATTAAGCGAGTATAACGCTTATTTGAACAAATTGCATAATATTCAGGTAAAATTTAAAGATATAATAACTTACATTTTAATTAATATATTACGGTAATAATATTTAGATTTAAATAATTTAGTTAATTAATTTAAATTATTGAGGTATTTCTAGTATTATTAATATGTTAGACCATTATTTTAGGCCCTCTACACTCGCTTTATTAATATGCCGAACACAGTTACATTGGACGCCTTAAATGAGCAAGGTAAGAGAAATGAGATGTTTCAATATCTCAATTGGCTCCACAGAGAGGTGACGGGTCAGAGCCTGAACCCGATTATCGATATTATTAAAGGCGATGATGATTATCCTAAGTTTATCAAATGGACACAATTGATCCTATCACATTATGCGCAAGCTATGCTACTTCACGGCATTTGCGTTCAATTGCGACCTAATGTTACCAAGAACGTGTTGGATCAGACTCTGACAAACGACACGGGTCTATTTGAAAAGTAACTTTATCATGCAAATTTTAAACATAATTAATTATTTTAATGTGTATAGAAATTTGCGTGAGATGACCACCGTATTCACAACATTTATTGAACATCTTAAAAAAAGTTATTTCACTAAACTTGAGGAAAGAGTGACTAACAATGTGATAACGTTGCCAAGTTTAGATAAGCAGGGAATGGCCACCGTTACGTACGATTATTTGAGCGGTAAATACCCGTTCCGGGAGTGGCTTGTTTGTATCTTAGATCCTCATTGGGTTCACCACCGCGACGCATTTTTCTATGCTAATTATGAAGACGATCAAGCTATTCTCCTAATTGTGTGTGACAAGGATGGAAAAAGGATCGCGATGAGCACTGAAAAATACGACGACATTTGGAATCGTAAAAAATCTGCTTATATATTATTATATGATTGCTAAAATTGAATTGTACTTCAATAGATTAATTTATTAACATAGAGAATATTAATATTATGATAGTGTTTTAGATAATATTATTTATATATAATATTAATTATCTTAAACTTTAATTGTCTAAGAACATTGTACAATACAATTTAGTAACCTTGCAACTAGTGATGATTATTGGTAATAATGATTAGAATGATCAATTTTATTTTTTAGCACTTGAACGAAGTAAACTTACAAACAGACGAATGATGTTTATAACGTCAACATTAGCAAGCAATTCTAACTATAAAGATGACGTGAAAAATTATCTTGCCACAATCGATGAAAATTCGTATTGTAAATATGATAAATGGGGTCGGCCCTATGAGCTTTTCTGTTACAGTACCGGTAAAGTTGTGCTAGATGGTCTTCCAGAAAATTGCTCTAGCCAGATTCTGTGCGTTAGGTTTCATAATGATCAGGAAATTACCTACAAATGTAGTGATCGAGCGTCGATTTGTAAGCATAAACGACAAAAGGAAGGATTTTTCGGCTTGATAAGTTTCTATGTCGAAATTATCACTATTAAAAAAGATTAATTATTTTAGTGCAAAAATTCATCTAAAAGCTATGTTTACAATGCTTGCATTGTACTCATAATGTCAATATTGAGCTTGTTATTTGTACTAATAAACTAATTTGAAATAAGACCATTTTTCAAACTCTTCAATAAAATTCTTAGTTTATAGGCTAAAATATTCAGTTATAAGAAAACTTAAATTTTAAATAATAATTTTAATATTAAACAACGTTGCCAGAAAATTAAACATTCAAGGATTGATAATATCTAACATTGTAAACAATATTTTACTGTACCGCTACACCTAGATAAATCTATATTTCATATCATTCACGTGATAATTAAATATTAAAAACTTTCACAATATACATAAATACGTTGTATTAAAAAATCTAACATAAATAAATTAAGTTCAAAAATGAAACATGAATTTCGCATCAATTTGTGTACTCATACATGGAGAACAAAATGTGACTGCGCTACTTTGATTTCAATTTATTTCAATACCGTTGTTTATTTTATTCATTTATCTCCTAACAAGATTATTTTTATGACTCAATCACTATGATTTATTAATAGGGCCAAATAATTGCAGGCAAAAATGTTTTATTAAAAGTATAGGGTGTCACATTGCATTACAACTAATATAACAACCAATATTGTTATTATTAAAATTAATAAAACTTTGTGTAAACGGTGTATTCATTGTATTTGATTGGATGTCACAAAAGGTTTGCATAAAAATCACATTTATTTTAATAAAGCGTTGAGTGAAATGAAGTGTGAATTAAACAAATTAAATGATTTGAAGAGTTTGTGTCAATGTTTAGACAAAATTCAGTCTATTTTGTCACAAAATACAAGTGTTTTGGGATTGAATGCGAAAATGCAATGAATTTGTCAATGAATTGCAATTCAATTGATTTGAATTCATGTAAAATAAGTGATAAAATGCTTTCCAATCACAACACCATTAATACACTCAACATATCACTATTTCCACTGTTTATGGTCTAAATGTCAGTGTATGATTCGAAATAAATGTCACTCGAATAATCATAAATTATTTTATTCACATATAAAACAATTTAAATGTCACTTAAAAACTCGATAAAATAAACTGTTTTATGATTTAATAAATAAATTAAAACATTTAAATAAAATAAATAATAAATTGCTTTCCAATCACAACACCATTAATACACTTAACATATGCTTTCAAATCACATGAAATACTTTGTAAACATCTCACACAAAATAAGTCATAAGATTGTCTTATTAATACTGAACACACTTTACTTTCATATAAAACCTGTTTAATGCAGTAGTTTTGTACCTGTACACCTGCAATTATTTGGGCCTAGTGATAAGTATCTCATATCTCGATGAATCAATGATTTCTTATTTTCAATGTTAAATCATTTAATCATTTTTTTGAATATTTAGAAAGCATTTGTATTTATATTTACTGAATATTTATACACTATCTATGCCTACGTATATAAAAAATGAAATGTATTTTTGAATTGTGCTTTCATTACAAATGCCATTTGTATTGCAAAACCTGATTATTTGATTAATTGATAGAATAAATAAATATATAAACAAAAAGTTTTAATTTTCTATTCTTA